GAAACAGGCCTGTTTCTGGCCTTCCCGAACTTCCAGTAGGCCCGTTTTTCACCCTCCCCAAGCCTCCGTGCGTGCCCTGCACTTACCTGCATCCAAAACGGGCCACATGGGGACTTGAGAGGGGCAGGATGGGGTGGGCGGGGTGGGCAGGGCCAGCCAGGAGTGGGATTTGAGGATTTTCCGAACTGCACAGAATCTTAGTAGAGGTTCCTGCGAACCCCCAGCAGCCCACCCTTGGCTCATTTGAAAGAACACATCTCTCTGCAAAAGTCCCGTTAGTTGGAAAAGCAGCAAAACCAGAGGAAGGAAATTGTAAAGTGAGAACTTGTATGCAAGGGCCACGAATACTTGTAAGGAAGTTCACTTATTTAAGTAGTGTAAACTGATCCAGATAAACCACTTTGGGACAAAATAAACTATTTGTAGGTTTGGGGGTTTTGTGCCTTCGAGTCAATGTTGACTCTGGAAACCGGACAAGTCCTTGCAGGTTTTTTTGGCAAGTTTTTGGAAGGGGTTTGCCATTGCCTCCTACCTAAGGTTAAGAGAAAGTGACTGGCTCAAGGCCACCTGAATTATTAATGCAAAAGGCAGGATTAGAACACATGATCTTCCAGTTCTTAGCCTGATGCTTTACTCACCAAACCAAACACATATGATGTAGCCAATCACACTGACATCTTCTGTGAACCTACCCAACCCACAGAGCCAAATGAATGGAGAAAACCACTTTTATGTATTCTGAATGTATTGTGCAGATAGAGGCACAGAGCTTCTTAGGCAAAACTCTAGGGTGCCATCTGACCCAAATAAGCCTTTCAAAATATGAAGTACCTAAGAAGTTCTAATCCATTTGATTTGTTTGATAAACAGACCTGTCGTAAATCAGGAAATCATCTTTTGTGCCTCTTAAAGTCGTCCAGACATCAGGTTGCGTTGCATCCTGTTGGTACACAGGAATTTCTTCTGAAACCCTTTCTCTTAGAAGTTGGTACTTCAGCTGGGAATGGCTTCCTTGGTGATTGATCACAATGAAAGAGATATTGACCAGTCCACTATTTGCCAGCTTCAGTTGCAGGTCTTCAAGTCTAATAAGTAAATAACATTTTATGCCTTCATTTTCTTCCCTTTAGAAAAGCAGAATTTGTTTATTTGTTATCTACAGGATAATTTTAGTCTTATCTACAATTATCTAAGTTGATACTATAGAATTAGGAGTCCTACTATACAATCAAACAGTTCACATTTGAAAAGTCACAGCCGCTTTAATACACCTGGACCAAAAAGAAAACAAACTAATCTGTTAGCCTGGGAACAATTCCTAAAAAACAGGTCACATGCAATAGGGTGGGCAGTCACTAATTTTTCAGAAAAACCACTTTGGGATTAAATTCAAAAATGAAGAGACAATGTTACTGAAGAAGGCAATAGCAACAGCCATAGCACTTAAGACTTATAGACTGCTTCACAGTGTTTCCCAGCCCTCTCTTAAGCAGTTTACAGAGTAAACATATTGCCCCCAAACAATCTGGGCCTTCATTTTACCAACCTCAGAAGGATGGGAGGCTGAGTCAACCTTGAGCCTGGTGAGATTTGAACTGCCAAATTGCAGGCAGCCGTCAGCAGAATTAGCCTGCAATGCTGCATTCTAACCACTATGCCACCAAGGTGTTTTGTTCTTACAAATTGTCACCTGGGGTTGTTTAACAAAGCCAGAATGCCAGTTTCAGTCCAAACGCAACTGTAAAGCAGTAATTTTGGCAAGCAAGCAAAAGCTATTAAGAGCCGAGGTGGCGCAGTGGTTAGAATGCAGTACTGCAGGCTACTCCAGCTGACTGCCAGCTGCAGTTCGGCAGTTCAAATCTCACTGGCTCAAGGTTGACTCAGCCTTCCATCCTTCCGAGGTCAGTAAAATAAGGACCCAGATTGTTGGGGACAATAGGCTGACTCTGTCAACCGCTTAGAGGGGGCTGTAAAGAGATATTGACCAGTCCACTATTTGCCAGCTTTGCGATATATAAGTCTAAGTGCCATTGCTATTGTGCCAGAATTTTTTTTCACTCCCCACCCAAAGCTGAATAAAAACTCCTCTTGCTTTAAGAAACAAATCCCAACAGGATATACCTTCATGGGCACTTGCCTAGTTGGGTGGACCTTACCTGGAAGCCTGCAAAAGGCACAGGTATCAGCTAGCTTGGAGTAGAGCCACCACAGTCACTGACCCTCTTGAGGTCATCATGGGATTTTCTTCCCCGATGCTCCATTCTGGGGGTTCTTTACAACGATCCGGATGCTCTGATCCTCCTCCTGGCAGGAGACAGAGGACCAAGGCTAGTCCTAGCCCAGCCCACATGGCTGGATGTGGCCTGCAAAGAGAAAAAAAATAAGGAAAAAAACTAAAGACTACAGGTAGTTCTCGACTTACAACAGTTTGTTTAGTGACTGTTCAAAGTTACGACGGCACTGAAAAAATGTGACTTTTGTAGCAACCCCATGATTATGTGAACAAAGTCCAGATGCTTTCGTAACTGGTTCATACTTATGACCATTGCTATGTCCCAAGGTCATGTGATTTGCAAGCAAAGTCAATGGGGATGCCAGATTCACTTAACAGGTAGGTTACTAACTTATCAACTGCAAGATTCACTGAACAACTGTGGCAAAAAAAATCGCAAAAAGGAGCAAAACTCACTTAACAAATGTCTCACTTAACAATAGAAATGTTGGGCTCAATTGTAGTCATAGGTTGAGGACTATCTGTATCACACAATCTGTCCTGTGCCCTGACTCTTTCAGAATAGCAGCACCAACAGATTTTGAAAACATGGGAACATCTCTTCCCTAAAATTGTTTTGTACAAATTAAAGTTACGGGACATGAACTATTAATTTGCCACACCAATTTGGTATAGTGATTAAAATGCTGGTCTAGAAACCAGGAGACTGTGTGTTCTAATCCCATCTGAGGCATGAAAGCCAGCTCAACTGATCCCTACCTCAACAGGGTTGTTGTGGGGAAAACAGGAGGAAGAAGGAGTATTATATATGTTTGCTGCCTTGAGTTACTTATAAAGCAATAAAGGCAGAATAAAATATCTAATCAATCAAAGTGTTCAAGCATTTCCTATTTTAAAATATTTTTTCTACTTCACTATGTCCACCGTTGGAACAAGAATATGTTTGAAACCCATGAAAAGTATTTTTTTCTTCTTCAATCTATTCATACATAAATAGTAAAATTTTCACATTTCTTGGTTATTAGGCTCATGGAAAGTGACATGCTGTTGGGGACGGATGAAACCTGAAAACATATGAGAGACAGAAAGCTTTTCTGACATGAAAATAAGATCTTTGAATCTGTTTACTCAGAAATCACTGCAGAGTTGCACTTTACATTGCAGAATGTAATGTAAAGAATGCAATGGGTTCGATTATTCTAAAAACTCTGATCTTCTCCTAGGAAGCTACCCACAAATCAGGAGGTGTCTAATAGCTTAGCCTAACAACTTTTGTCTGAAAAGGTGCTGTAAGACTAACTCCTAATTTGGGGCTCCCATAGACTAACGTGGTTCACATTGTACTATGGGTGATAATGCAATCCTGCTCACCTACACAATATTTCATGCATTGCCATTCTTGGTTTCCTTTTTATTCGTTGGGCAATTCTAAGCTGAACATAACTTCATGAAAAGTTGTATTCGCATACAGTACAGAGCAAATATTCTCTCGCAGGTCGCACATCTAAACTGGGAATAGACATCCCACGGAAGAGGAGCACGGCAGTATTACAGAAGCGTGTCATCGGAGCTTATACAGGGCACAATCGGAATCGTACTTCATGCAAAAAACAAAAGCAAAAAAGGCTGCAGTCCTTTCCATACATGAAGGAGGGAGCCAGCCGCGCAGAGTTCCGCGGGTTTTACTACTGAATGAAATTAAGAGGAGCAGCCTCGCGCATCCCAAAGCACTAATTTTGGGATTACGCACAACCTCGCTAGGGAATTATTATTTTTGATGACTTGGATTCTTAACTATGTTTCAAACGAGCCCGCTCCGCTCCGTCTCCCCAAAATACTCCCCGCTTTAATCGCTTGAACCAGGGGTGTCCAAACTTGGGAACTTTTAAGACTTGTAGACTTCAACTCTCAGAATTCCCCAGCCAAATTCTGGGAGTTGAAATCCACAAGTCTTAAAAGTTCCCAAGTTTGGACACCCCTGGCTTGAACCAACTAAGCTTCCTAGAGCTACGTCGGTACACAGGCGCGCGTTTTCCCGGAGGCGCGCTCGACCCAAACCGTATTTTTACACGCACGCGTGGATCTCAGCGTCTTGAAGAGGAGGGAAATAGGGTGGGTTTTTTTTTTAATGCATTCAAAGTCCCCTTTCTCGCCCGCCCCCCTTCTCGGTTCGTAATTGACCTTCAAAGTCCCCCTTCTGCCACTTCCACGGAACATTTCCAGAGGCGCGCAAGAAAACTCACCGCGCAGCTCGGGAGGATCTTCCCCAGCTCGCCAGCCGCTTGCTCGCTCGCCCGCCCAGCTCGCTGGCATTTATACCCCCTCGAGTTGTTTTGCCTCCGAGTTTGGATACGGTCCAAAGTTCGGCAACTCTCGTGACGTCTCCAAAAAACTCAAAGTCTGGGACGAGTCAAGGGCGAGGACAGCGGGAGGAGGACCAACTCCCCAAAAGCAAAGGTGTATATGGAGATGCTCAGGCATCCAGGGCAGGGTTGTCCCAAAGGTGCTTTTTTCCCCCCAAGAGGCAACTGGACCCTCTATTTTTGCCTTGAAGACGTTTCGCTTCTCATCCAAAAAGCTTCGAAGCTGAGGAAGCTTCTTGGATGAGAAGCGAAACGTCTTCAAGGCGGGGGTGGGTGGAGCAGAAAGCTCAGTTGCCTCTTGAAAAAGCACCTTTGGGTTCCCCAAAGCGAAGCGTCTTCGCCGTTGGGCGCAAAGGTCCCAAGTCAGAGGCGAGGGATATGCTTGGCCGGAGTGAGAAGGGGGAGAGCTCTTTTGTTCTTATCTTATCCCCTGCTGCATCTTTCCCCTCCAGGGAGATTCCACTGCTCATGTTGTTACCCTGTAGGAAGTTAAAAGGCCACCCCTCTCCTAGAAAAAAATGAAATCTCCTGGGAAATATTGAAAAGGCAGGATATTATATTTCCCTGGCTAACAAATGGAGAAACATGTTTTTAGGCAGGAAACAGGCTCACTCTTAATAGCCCCCACTTTTGTCAATGGGGCATTTAAAAAGCCACAGCTAGTCTACTCTACATAACAAAGATAGTATTAGCCTTCTACAGAAACTCACCACAAGGCATGTGGGAATATTATATCAGCCAGGAAGGCAACCAAATTTGGGCTCAAAGGACAGCCTAAAGAGTTGCCCCTGCATGGCCCCATGGGAGTCTGACAACCAATCAGAATACAAGATCAAGATTAAAGGCCAGAGAGGGCATAAAACCAGGGACTTTAGCATCTTGCCCTCTTTTTCTTCTTCACCCAACATCTGGAAGCATGTGATCCCCCTTTTCTGTTCCGGAACTCAAGCCATGTGATCCTGTCTACCATTAAACCATCTTTCCAAGCAGCCTCCATGTTTCCAGTGTCTTTTTCTCCACTTGGAGCTGAACCTAGATGGACATTTCTTCCAACAATCCCAAAAACAGATTTTCTGCTACATTACAACAGCCTGTCCTGAAGACGCTGAATATTTCATTCATTTCATTCATTTCATTTCATTTATTATATTTATATGCTGCTCTTTTCCCCCCGAAGGGGACTCAGGGCGGCTGACAAATCAAATCTGGGAAGGGGGAGTACAGACAAAAAATAAAAAACAAACATGACAATACATAATTTAAAAACACACAACAGTCATACCATTCGAGACGGGGGCAACAGCTCTTTAGCCCCAGGCCTGTCGGAACCGCCAGGTTTTAACAGCTTTGCAGAAGGCCTGGAGGGTGGTGAGGGTTCGAATCTCCACGGGGAGATCGTTCCAAAGGGTCGGAGCTACTACCG